TTCGCGCTCTCATTTATTTGACTGGATCCGTCGTCTCGATCCTTTCCCTGCCAACAAGGATGTAAAATTCAACGAGTTCATTCATCATGAGAGGACCCTGCACGTAAGCCGAGCGAGGGATTTGGCGCCAGCTTATTTTCGTCATCGTTTGATACACTCTCTTAGAAATGGGCCGTTTACTCGTAATTAATTTCGGTAATCAAAGAGGAATCTGTGCATACTCCGATGCTGCCAAGCTAAGGCAGAACGTCATATCGGCGGCGTAAGTTCGCAGCTCGTTTGCTGTGTCTGAAAATCTCCGCCTCTCTGTTATCTTTTTAAAGGAGAACAAATTGAAAACATTCCTTGAAATTTTTGCAGAATTTTCTTCGCACGGAGAAAAAAAAATCACTGCAGTTTGAAAGAAGTGGCGTTGAGTATAGTTTTCCGTTTAAAAAATAAAGTATGACAGGAAGTCTGCGACGTCGCAAACCGAGTTATGTGATTGCCGACTTACGCCGTCGATATGAACTTTTAGGCGTTGCCAAATTTCCTTTAATAAAATACATATTTATTGAGGGAGTTGTAAATATTTTTCTTCAAATTGCTCATAATATTTTGCTAGCAGCTCCATCTGAAATATCCGAAAATTTCAAGGAAAAATACGAATAAATTTCGTCAAAAATACATGCTTTATCCGGGGAAATTTGGCAACCCTCGAATGTTTGTACGGCTTTCTTCCTTAGCACGGCAGCATGGTCGCGGGTGATAACTCCGGCCAGTAGTGGTGAAATACACTTCACTCAGGGGAACTATATGAACGCTTGGGAAAAGTGTTTGGCAAGATAGGAAGAGGCTGTCTTGGCCGTGAAGGGAATTGAACACATTGCAAGTTCACCACACTCAGAATGATTTCGGCCACACGTCATTCAAAGTCTTGCTGATTTTTTTTTCTACTTCAAATACCACACAAGTGGCAAACCTGCGCCGTCGGTTACAGCCCCGCACCCCCCTCAGCCCGTAATGTATTACCAACCCGAGGCAACCGTTGTTTGAGACCATCAAACTCGGGTCGCCTACCCGGGAATCAAACCCGGGATCTCCTAATCTTACAGAGCCACCGCTACAACTATTACGCCACAGGCGGCCGACGATGGCGAACTGAGTGGCAACGAATGGCGGACTCATAAGAAACTAGAAGTACTGGTGAGATGAACTCCTAGATTTTTAAAAGTGCATGCATGATGTTCTGTACAACTTCCTGAGCACGCAGCAACGTAGATTTCTTACATCGAACTTTCTAGTCACCAATTTTGAAACAAGCGGGGCTGAAAAGTGAATTTTTCAGTATTTTTACACGCATAATCAGAAAAATGTTTGTTATCAAGGATAGCTACTCTTTCTTTGACGTGCGTTACCAGCAAAGGAAAAGAGACAGACTTTTTTCAATCGAAAGTTTCCGAATGACCGAGGCACAGAAGCAGTGCCATATCTCGGCAAGTAGTCTGATCTGATATGTTCAAACATCCTGACCCGTGGGCTACTTTCTGAAAAAGTTGATTGAATGGTATCAATATCTCGTTATGGTGTTTGGAGTTAGAATTTGGATGGTGATAACCGTAAAAATCTTGTAGGAAGCGTCTAAAGCCCAAACACACGATGGCTGAGGGAGCAAAATACGTTTATGAGTTCCAGGTCCAATTTTTTCCTTCATAAATGAGTGATGCAACATGCGCGGCGTGTGATCTTGTAGGAATTTCTTCAAAGAGTGCGCGGTGCCTTCGAGTCTCTTTCATAAAATCATTTGAACAAGGATAGTTCGGAAGCGAGAATTCACCGTTTGAAATTTTTGTTCTTCACTGACCGTCTCTATTTCATTAAAATGATGGTCTAAATTTTGATAAATCGAAAACTCAGGGAATGTTTTGTTCATCAGTGCACTGGTATCTTTCAACAGGTTACTTGTTGGTTAAGACTTTTCATTTAACTTTTAATCACCATTGCAGCAAGCTTGAACTTAAGCTAATTATTTTATTTTTGTTGTTGTTTTTTCCAGCTCCGGTGCAAGATGAAGCAGGAACCCAAGATGTTGACTACGTCACTGGTATGTCATTATTATTATTATTTTTTTAAAACAAATATTTAAAGTCTTTGAGAGGTTACTATACCTCTTTGATACAATTTCCTTTCCACTCTCAAATTTTCCCATTTTCTAATTTTCAATACATCATACCTCTAAGAGATGCACATAGTATATTCATATCGGGACGCGAACGCCCTTTGCTGAATTAGTAGAGCGTTTCCGAAAAATACGAAATGGCTGTAAAATGTGTATAATGTATTGACTCATTGGAATACAGAAGGTGTATCCATGGCATGAAGACTCAGTGACGTGGCGTGCTTTGCGATATATCGATTGATCTGCCATTTAAACAAATAGGAAAGGATCGATGGACAGGGTGTTCGCAACGAACGCCCTAATAATCGATTCCCTACCATAGTTTCAAACAGGGGAATATCGATAATCGATCATTCACTCCTCGCCACTGATGAAGACGCTATTAGAGCTACCTATGCTGCGGAGTATGAATGGCAATGATTCATGATGATCCCATCTTACATTTGAATAGGTTTTTCTCGAATGACTTAGGAAAGATTGGTAATATTCTTCATTTTCTTTCATTTAATTGTTTTATTTCTTCTTTGAAAGGCTGAGCATGCATGTAGAGAATGGATTTTGTTATTTTAGTGCCTTCCATGGTGGACTGATATGGTGTACTTTTGATTGAAGGGGGGTATTTTTCTTCCTCTTACTTAACTTTTGCGCAAATTTTTGAACCCTGAAAAACACTTTAACCACTACCAGGGAAAACCTTGGAACCTACCTAGGTACCTAGTCGGAGGAGTTTTGTTTTTAATTTTAAGTTGATTACAATCAATTACTCGTCTCATCCGCATCTGTTGATAATGGTGTTCTTTTTTGGAGATACGGTTTTTGGAGTTACATACGTTTAATGCGTTTTTTGATGCGTGGTATCGAAAATACACCATCATAGCCGTATGGAGCATTATTTTGATGCGTGACCTCACAATTACTTTATCGACATGATACTACTTCCTAGTCTCTTTCAAGCGTAATCTCTTAAAGGTTACCTTTAGCCAATTCAAAATGTCTCAGAAGATCCAAAAAAATTGAATAAATAAAAATGTATTTGACCGCCGTTTGCAAGATAAGTTCCTTCCACAAAAACTTTAAATTCAGTAATCGGTGTCCTAGAGAAGATAAGCGATCTTCAAACATTCTACATCATAAAACTCCAGAAATGTCGGACTAAACCTGAGTTACGACGGTTTACAGTTTAGCAGTTCTATACGAGTAATTTCGAGAAAAAGTTATTTGAAAGTTTTAAACCCTATGTTCAGGTCACGAAAATGCTGGATCTAAACGACTTTTTGCCCTTTCTTGGCATAAAAAATTAATTTATCTGCTCAAAACTTATTCTTTATTGGACACACAAGAAAGATACTTATGCGGGAGTTCATTTCAATAAGCAATATATACTTCAAATTGTTTACCCGTATTTATATCATATTGTCAACTTGAAAATATTGGCATGTTTTCCTTTCTTATTATCTTTTTCTCTTGAAAATCTTATTTCTCATTATTTTTTTCGTTATTTCAATTTTTTTGCAAATTCAAGGCAACATTTCGAGCTTGTCCTCTCCATCCCCGCCAGCCGCAAGCGACACGCCACGACTTCGTCGCAAGGCCCAGCATAGAATTTTCTTCACTTCCTAATGTACCGATACAGTCTACCGCTTACCGTTTATCGTCTACCGTCTACTATCTTCTGGTACTTTATCTTATTTCATTCTTTGCCTTGTATTTTTCACTTTTTTTCTTGCCTACATGCTGATGAGTTATTTTGCCTATCGTTACTTTGACTTTCTATGTAAATTATGCTTAAATTTTGTCTGCCTCCAGAATGTATACATATACCATGAGCCTCTGTGTATTGCATTTTTTCTAGTTTAATTTTATATTCGTTACTCGGCTGACATAAAGGCGTAAGTACACATTGGGATGAGCCTGGAAAAGCATTGAATTGTATGGACGACAGGGCTCATTGCAGAGTGTAGATACGCCCTTATGTTAGGGAGGGTATTTGTTCTTCCTAAAATCAATACGTGTACTTTTGTACTGTTTGTACTGTCTCTGTATCGCATTCTGTGACTTTATCATTGTATTTTCGCTAGCTGAGGAATTGATACTTGTGTAATTTGAATCTCCGCGTGCCGCATTATTATGACGCTTAATTGCATTTGGTTTCTTAAACAGTATGCATTTTTTCCTCTGCATCGCTAATTGTAAAGACTATTTGAATAACCCGTATTCGTATATTTCCAGAAAAAGTTTGAGAAATCCATAGTCTGGACTTTCTTTGTACCTCAATAGCTCTTCAAACTCCAGCTCATCTCTACGATAAAGCACCCACCAGCATTAGCGAGGGCGAGTTTCGTCCCCCCCCCCCCCCCATTATTTTCAATGTAAGACATCGAATTGCATGTAAAACACGATTCTCGCATGAAATACGAGTGAAAACAACTCTTAACTAAGATATTATCGTTTTTATTGTACATTGACGACGGGAAATTTGAATAGCCCGGTCACAAGAAAAACGATAGTCTATTTGAGTCAAATCGCTTACTACAACGGTTTTGGTGGACTTCTTAATAGAGCAATATTTTTTCCTTGCCTACTTTATATTTTAAAGATGATCAAATGGACGTATTTCTATCAAACGGAACTAAGCGCCATAGAGGGAGGAAGGGAGGGGGGGGCTTGGATTGGTGGGTGTAGCGGAACGCACTGCTCGTTCCGTCCTATACTCGCAATGCTTTTCCATGGCGCTCACTTCCGTTTGACAGAACGCGCTATCCGGGATTCTAAAATCCTCAAGAAGAAACTCAATTTGGCGCTTAGTTCCGTTTAACAGAAATACGTCTAAATCGACATCATTCTTTGAAGTTTCTGCAGAATTTTCTTCGCACTGAGAAGAAAAATCACAGCAGTTTCCATGAATTGCCGTTCAGCGGATTACCATTTAAATAATAAAGTATGACAGGACGTCTGCGCTGAACCGAATTACGTGGTTACGGACTTACACCGTCGTTAGGTATCTTAATTAGGAGTTATTTCAGTAATTTTCGTTGCGTGAATCGTGTTTTACCTCAAACTTTGATTAAAAAACACGCATTCGAATGCTTAACTCTGTACCTTGTCTAGTGGTCCATTGCTGGCAGCTTTGAAACGCTAAAGTTCGATGCGTGTGCCATTTCAATTCTTATAAGCACCATCGCGCCGCCACCTACCGTCGAAGCGACTGAGAACTTCGCAGACAACGGAGAGGAGTGAGTCAAAGTGTCAACGGCCGGAGTGGAGGTTAGCTCCGATGAGTCATACCCTGTAAACCAGACCACGATAAGCGGAAACACCATGTTCGGAATTTTTGACATCCAGGATCGGCGATCATCAGGAAGAGACGACTTTAGAGGATAAGGCGGAAGTAGAGCAACGCGGAGACTGAAAGATTTCCCCGAATTCGATGCCTGATTGCCGCTAACTTCCCTCCGCTTCACTCCTCCCCGTGACGTTGTGCATCGGTAGTGAATGGCCGCTTCGAACCGTCTCGCAGTAGTGCCGTTCCGATACAGCCGGAGACAAGAGACCTTCCAATGGTATCAGGAAATGGTGGAAGCTTTTACTTTCAGGGACTCCAGCATTCAACTGTTAACTTATCTACGGATGGGTAACCACGTGTTGGAAGTTTCGTTTTGCAAACAAACTGAAGTTTGTTAGAATTGTTTGGTTCATGACTTCCCTCGAAGCTCATCATTCTTCTAGTGGGTAGGTCAGCAGCCCAAATAGGGTGATGACTATTGCTCCCTTAAAATTTTCCAGAGGGAAGTGTTGAATCTCCGAAATTAGTTTCCACCTGTCGCCAAGAGGCCAGGGGAGGGTCGCTTGTCTCTGGATACGGCTAAAACCGCCAGACTTCTTGAAGTTATGTGAAGCTCTGATAAGCTGGGAGAAACCCCGATAAACTTTGATAAGCTCCGATAAGCGCCGACTGACAAAGCTCTGATTAGTTCTCATAAGCATCGATTCTTCCGATACGTGTAAAGCCTAGGGTACCGATAAAGAGCCCTTCGATAATCACTCTTCGTGATATTCTTCGACAAATCCAGTTGCAGCTAACTCCTTTTGAACGGTGACTAAATCAGATGTCTTTATACTTTTGGAGGAAATTAGCCGGTGAAAATGACTTCTCAATTGCACTTTTTTATAGGTCAGTTGGGCATATTGCTTATTTGGCATTTAAAATGTGTCACTTTTTACTCACAATCAGCATTCAAAAAAATGTAATGGAATTGCTAACGCATAGGGCAACCCTGGTAAGACTCATGAAAATGCTATTTAGGGCGAGAACAGGCACGTAGCCAAGGAAAAGGCGCTTGGAGAGCTCATCCCCCCCCC